ATTTTTCTGGCACACATGTTCATAAGTTCTGAAAAGCTAATCGTTCGCGTGGCACTGGATTTACCTACAACTATAAAATTACACAGACTTGTAGAATATTAAATTTCCTATTCCAAAGGTGTAAACTCATGTGCACATACTTCGGCGGTTTGAAACAAGAGTCGTCAGAAGATGACATATCCCCCCGGCCCCCACATCTTTCAAAGAACAAATCATCTGACAGTTACTTAAAGTCCAGCTTGATTTTAGACTAAGTGCAAATCGTTTCCATGGAAATCATGAAAAAAATAAATGACAAAAATCTGCAAATAGCAAAAGGCACCACTTTGGGATCTGCCTCACATATCTGCCAAGTTTTGCTGAAAGATATTAAGAAGTTTTCGCGTTGTGCTCCGGAAACAAAACCTACCCCTCCCTTTTGAGACTAAGTCCAAATTGTTTCCATGGAAACTGAGAAAATAATAAATCACAAATATATACAAATAGCAAAAGGCACCACTTTGGCATCTGCCTCACATATCTGCCAAGTTTTGCTGAAAGATATTCAGAAGTTTTCCAGTTGTGTTCGAAGGCTTGAAACCCATCCCTTCCTTTTGAGACTAAGTCGAATCATTTCCATGGAAACCGAGAAAATAATAAATCACAAATATCTGCAAATAGCAAAGGCACCACTTCAAGATCTGCCTCACATATCTGCCAAGTTTTGTTGAAAGATATAGAGAGGTTTTTGAGTTGTGCTCTCGAAAGCGAAGCCTACCCCTCACTTTTGGGATTAAGTCGAATCGTTTCCATGGAAACCGGGAAAAATAAAAATGCCAAAATCTGCAAATAGCAAAAGGCACAACTTTAGGATCTGTTTGATATATCTACCAAGTTTTGTTGAAAAATATTATACGGTTTTGAGTTGTGCTCGGAAGCTTAAAAGCAATCCTTACTTTTGAGACTAAGTCCAAAATGTTTCCATGGAAACTGGGAAAAATAAAAATGCCAAATAGCAAAAGGCACCACTTAAGGTTCTGTTTCATACATCTACCAAAAATGAAAAATATTGAGCGGTTCTTGAGTTAGCGAGAAAAATAAAAATACCAAAAATAGCAGCAAAGGCACCACTTAAGGTTCTGTTTGATATATCTACCAAGTCTTGTTGAAAAATATTGAAGCGGTTCTTGAGTTATGCTCGGAAGCGAAGCCCACCCCTCACTTTTGGGACTAAGTCGGATTGTTTCCATGGAAACCGGGAAAAATAAAATGCCAAAATCTGTAAATAGCAAAAGGCACCACTTTAGGATCTGTTTGATATATCTACCAAGTTTTGTTGAAAAATATTGAATGGTTCTTGAGTTATGCTCGGAAGCGAAGCCCACCCTTCTTTAAGACTAAGTCCAAAAGCGTTTCCATGGAAACCGAGAAAAATAAAAATGACAATTATCTGTAAATAGCAAAGGCACCACCTTAGGTTATGTTTGACATATCTACCAATTTTGGTTAAAAAATATCGAGCGGTCTTTGAGTTATGGTCGGAAACAAAATGATTCTTGGTGGACGGACGGATGAGAACGGACGGACAGACGAGGCGACGACTATATCCCACCGCATTATATGCCGGTGGGATAAAAATAGACACTGCTAAATGTTGTCAAAAGTTTTGTTACATGTTAAAATACAGTAAAAGCACTGTGGAACGAATTTTGTAATTTGGCATCTTTATGAGAAATGTGAATGAACAAAATACTGCTGGATATCTTAACGACATAAGTATATATGAAATGGGTTGTGTGCTTCTGTATAACGATAAACACAATCTAAAAAATGACTTGAAATAAATGTTGAAAATGTATTTTCCTCTATGACATCAAACGATGACAGAGAGATCGTACACATATAAGATAAGGGGGCATAACTCTGCTATGCTTAAAGGTCACATGCAACGTAAAACACAACTTTGCAGATTCTGATACCTTTCGGTATGGACTTACCGAAACAAAGCGTCAAAAATGCAAATTCAACTTATAAAGTTGAAAAAAAACGCGCGAAATCGGAGTTCAAACGTTTCACTAATTTTCCCCAGACTTTTCTGGGGAATACGGGTTTCAACAGCTGGCTGCGCTCATAGCACGTGCGCAGTGAAATAGGTTCGCGCAACTTGGAAGCGGGCTGTCTGGTGAATACTCAGTGAAGGCTTTGGTGTGAGCTAGTTTCATAATGTTTTGTTGATATCTCACAGGTGCGAGCTTTTTGTATGTTATGACAGTAAATAAACTGTTTATATAATTTCATTTGTCTATTTCACCACACGTTCTTCTTACCGAGTCACTTTCTCAGTTCGATACTTAAAAGCAATGTCATTATTTAGAGTTGACACGATTTCTAACTGTGATATAGATTTGTCGCTGTCACAGACAAAACTCGATGTCTTGTTTTATTGACACCAGTGTGTCTGCCTGCCTGTCTGCTAATGACAATATTCAATACACAACTGCTATCACTGACCACATGCAATTTGAACTTAACACCAATCAGGCTATACACCATAAACAAAACACATTGATTTATGGCCCGAGTTCGGTCTCTGTCACATTATGTAATTACACAGACAGGCAGGTGTGATACTTGAACACATGACATGTTATGATGTCTGTTGATTGCAAAATGTTATACACAAAAAATGAGCATGTACTAGTATTTACAAAACCCAACTTTCTATATATACAAACACAATGACCCGTGAAGGCGGCATCTGCTAATGAACCAGGCGTTACACTTGAGTGCACACCCACCCGCTCTGACTGGGTTCGGTATCCCGGCTGCTTCGTTTCTTGGGAAGTAAACCCAAGTACAAAATATTGCACTTTTGATTTGCGATTATACGCTTATAATTTTGTTTATTTGTTTTTTCATAATCAGCAATGCATATTATATGTCATGAAGAAGTGATAATTGTGTTTTAATTATGTTTGATTTTTTGGTTGCATGTGACCTTTAACACTAGGTCATTGTAACTCAGATCACTTGGAGAGAATTTGCTGTGGATATGGACATTATATCTTAGTGATGTTTTGTTCACAGTGAACCAAACTATTCCAATCCAAAGATCCACACTGAAACCAGATACATTTTGGTATTATCACAACTTATAGGAAATGATGACATCTTATTACATTATAAAGCACTTATAAGCGAATTGGGTGGCCCTATCCGATTTTAATTTGGTTCTTAGATTCCCATAGTATAGTGTTATGAAGATGTTTTTTACTCATTTTGCACAATAATTAACTAGCCATATGTTCAAGTGAAATGAAATTACTGAAAATATTACATCTCAGTTGACGTCATGGCTTGTTTTACATACTTTGTGACATCTGAGAAAGACTACATTGTTATGTTGAATAGTATATATCTCACCTAATTTCTAGTAATTGTATAAAAAGGTCACAGTTTCTCTGTCAGAATTTAAAGCTCTTTCAACAGAACATAAAATGACTGATTTCACCATTTAAATAAATGACCTGAGTAGATAAACAATTAGATGGTTTGACTGTGTATCTTAATGTGAACACGCACACCTGTTTGACATCAACCTAACGCAAATAAAAAAGAATACTTCAATGCATACAAATATATTTTTTAGGATAAGACTTTTCTTTGTTTATGATTATGCATCTATTTCTCTTCATAAGTAGACAATGAAAGATGCAAAAACATAGCCCTTTTTGTATGGAACTATCAGATGTTAGGTTTGTCCAAAGCAAGACATGACATTTATATTTCGTTTATATTTGTTTTACAAATTTTTGAAGGAATAAAGTTACTGTTTGATATCCTCTCATTGCAATATTTTTTTCCAAATATGAATCAATGATATTATCTAAAACAATGACAGTGAATTGTAAAACGTTTGTGACAATCATGCACCTGGCCTGTCATTATACATCACTGTTTTGTCAATAAAATGTAAGCATATATACATTTCATAAAATATACATAAAATTTTCATTGTTATTGTCAGTTTTACTTATAAGGTTAAATGAAATTTCTGTTCATTAACCTGTTCATATGAAACTGCAATATTGATCCCAATATTGAATATTGCACAGCATAGGTCCTTAGGAACTAAAGTACGTTTCATCTTGTAACACTTGTGTGAAGGTATAAAATATGGTGCACTACACTAAATGTGTCAATGTATTATGAAAACATTATTCAAACAAACAAAAACTTTCAAAGAATAAACAACCTATTGCCAAAATCTACATATGATATATTGAACAAGGCTAAATGTAGATAATAAAATTAGTTTCCTGAAAAATTATCTGAATGATACGCAAAACATACATTATAATACTGGCAGTGTAATCAGCGGGATATGGTTATGGCGTTTACTCTTATTGAACCGACCTTCACCTCAAAGAAATTGCCACATTTCTTACAAAATGGCGGCTTTGGTGACATGAGTATGCAGGATTTGCTGGGACCCTTCCCTTGATTCAGCAATCGTTTGTACATAAACATGCGATGCAAGTAATCAGAAAGATTGAGTATTTGTGTATTGTTATTTGTTGTTATTGTTTTCATTGTAAGTCAAATAAGCCAAAATTGTTGATAATTACCATTGTTGTTCTGCGTAATTTGTATGAATATCTCAATTTACTGCATTGTATATATTTCTAATTTCCTATTTCTTACTACGATACTCTTTCCATTCATATTCTAAAAGCATTGAGCCAATGCATGCAACAAATAGACGAATGGATGTCTGAAATTTTGAAAAAATGTTATGCAGTGTAAAACTGAATTCTTCTTGTTTACATTTCAAACAAGCGTAGTCTTGCAAGCACATTGTTTGTTTTCACACCCATTATATATACAAAGCTTCATAGCTCACGCAATAATGGAAATGTTCAAGTTTAGAATGTACAGACATGATGGACAACTCTTCAGGACATAAGCTCACTTGGCTTTAAGTCAGATGAGCAAAAAAGCTGACTCATTTCTCGACTCACTCTTTAGCATTCTCCAGTGATCTCCTCCTTTCTCCATACTGCTCTTCCCATGTTTGCCTTTCCTTTTCAAACACCTTGTACTTGTCATCCAACTCTTTCTGCTGCTGCTCTAAACTCTTCTTCATCTGCTCTGCACGCTTCTGAAGCTGTTCACATGGAAAGATTATTTGTGTAAACTTATGTCTAAAGAACATAAATGCAAAACGCTACTGGCAAGTGAACAGTTATCGCTGCGTAACAGTTATCGCCAATACATCAGTATCACATGTGCACAGTTCCGGTCAATTACAATTCCAGTATTTTTTCCCCACGGTATTTGACAACAATAAAGGACAGCAAAAGAAAATTCTTCACGGTAAGTAACATAAGAGAAAAATTAAAGATAAAGTTATGAACCATATAAAGAAATTTTAACTTAGTCGTGTGTGTGTGTGTGTGTGTGTGTGTGTGTGTGTGTGTGTGTGTGTGTGTGTGTGTGTGTGTGTGTGTGTGTGTATGTATGTCCACAACCTATATAATAGCAAGTTCAAGTTCGGCATGTAGGCCTTAAGGACAAATGAACTACAACCTGTCAAAGGCGAACTAAAAATTTCGGGAACTCATGTTGTTTTCCAGATTTAATGGTACCAGTTGCAGCAACATATAAAGACAACGGAGGAGGGACAAATAATATTCTATTTTCCTCACCACAGTTGCTAATCTTGATTGGTTCTCTACTGTGGGCTATGAAAAGTAATATATATATATATAATTGTATATATGTATATGGTTTGCTGATCTGTTATGTGTATTCCCAGTATATTTGCATGTGAGAAAACATCTACTTATACAGTGTAATGAACATAGAGAATTTTGGAACTGGTATGGGATTCATGAACCACCTTTAGTTCTACATGATGATGGGGCCAGAGCAATCTCTGAAACGTTGTACCAAATAATTAAAAGAAGATGAAACCCAGAAAATTCTCTATGTTCTTCAAATAGCATCTTCTAAAATGCCACTCAAGCATCTATTTATACTGCAATGATTACCTTCCACCGTGTTATATAAAAACACGATCGGCGGCAGTGAACGGGATGGACGCATCGGTGAAAGCTAATTAAGTATCATAATCAATTCTGTTTCATTAATTTAACGAACGACGGATTAATTTTGTAAATACCACTTAAATATGGCGATAACTGTTCGGTAGCCAGAACACATTCAAACTTTCACAAGTCCATGCACTGACATGGTAGCCTGAATATGTGACAATTTCCATAAACACACTGCTGATAAGTTACCTACAATAGGTTCTTCTCAGCTTGCAACAATCAATCTTACATGTAATATTGCACAACAATACACAACAGCTTCATTTCCATGAACAAAGTTTCAACTCAGAGCTGTACCTGCCTTCTAAGATTTTAGTTGATTTGTATTTCAAAATCCACAAAAAATATAAGAATATTTTGAGTTAACTGTGTCTGTGAAAATGCTTAAAAATATAGATTCACATGTGTATATATATATGTGCTAAAACAGAAGTCTCCAAATCTTTACTTTATAAATAACATCTCTAACTTTCTCTCCTCCAGAAGACATATGTCACAATGAACGCTTTGACCCCAAGGTACTAAGTACCACATTTCTAGCTACTGTTGTAAGATAATCTCTATCTCTGTGATGTGAAAGGCTATATTAGAACGCATGTAATTTCATCTACGACTAATACATTGGCAAAACAGTTGAAATCATGTTGACACCACATGTGAAAGACCTATATAATCATTTGAAATGGTATAACCTTGTAACACTATTAATTGTGACCTTAAAGAACAAATAAACTTTGGTTTTTTTGCACTCTTTTAACCATTACATATGAAAGATTTGTGGTTAGTCTTATGCGGAACACCAAATTCATTCTCTAAAAACCTTGTTAATTAATTAAAAGTTTAATTAAAAGAGCGATTAAAAGTTGCCAAAAAGTTGCCTGCTTCACTTTCACCCGCCAACGAAACCACAGTCACGTTACGTAACTCTTTCGCCAGAGCACTGCAGTGATGTGATGTGAGGAAGGATTTTCAGTTAGTTGTATATAAAGTGTGTAGCAAGCTCGTCATTTTGATGATTTCTCGACATCAATGAAGACATGCCGAATCTTTGCGTTGTCGGGCGATGGTGTCACCATGCACAGATTTCCACTGAGATACCGCAGTTCGTGCTAAATGGGTTATGTTTGTGAGTGCGAAGCGAGCGTTGTGAAAGCCTGTAACGATATCTTACTTGTGTTTAGATCCCTTAACGGAAGTTAAAGAATCAAAACTACTTACTAAATGGAGAAAAATATGTATATGATTGATGACCAAAAGGATTTTCCATGACACAATTTGTAACACTACATTTCTTCCTCGGAAGCGAGGTTGTGGTCGAAGTGACAATAATATTGTAAGTAGTATTATATTGACACCCACCTCGCTTCCACGAGAGAAATTGTTATGTCATAAGCTATGTCACGCAAAATCCTATTGGCCATCAATCAATACATATTTTACTACCAGTAGCAAGTAGTTTTGATTTTGATTTTTGAAAATCGTGAAGTCACGGGCTAAAGTATGTTAGAATTAATGAGATTATGGTTTGTTTTCATCAAGTTAGAAAATCAAAACTACTTTCTACTTGTAGTCAAATATGTATTTGAATCATGACCAAAAGGATTTTGCATGACACAACTTCCAACATAACAATGTCTTCCACAGAAGCGAGGTGGAGTGTATTCAGTATCGATTAGTAAATCTACATACAGTGGAGACCGCCTAAGTAAAGACCGCTTAACTAAACAGACCTGATAGGTAAACACTTTTCTTTGGTCCTGGCAAATTTCTTCATTAATTATCACTATTAGAGTCTGGTTAACTAAACTCGGATAAGTAAATAATACCGCTTAACTAAACGTCTTCTCACGGTCCCTGGAAGTAAATGACCAAAAGAGACTGGATAACTAAATTAGTGATCACCACATAATCCGACATGAGGGGCGCGTGTCAGTCTCCAGCTAAACAAACATCCTACTTACAGCTCGCTGTCAGCACGCAGTTGACAATACACTGGCAACTGGAGGCCAGCCCTGATAAGTGGTCCATTGTTACATATGCATACATATACATGCATATGGTTGTCATTTGAAGGTTTTTATCAGTTTGGATAAGTAAAATACATTATAAGTAAACAATTTTGGCGAGTCCCTTGAAATTTTACTTATCAGATTTCCACTGTACATGAACACTACCTTTTGACAAATCCGCTGTGCAAGATAAATGTAAGTAATCAATCAGCGTGTTATCGGTTAATCCTTTGATTGATGTTTATAATGTTGAGTATTTACTCCAGACACAAGAAATGCAAAATGGAAACCTTTGTCGGGTAATCTAAGTGGTGTTACGACTAATTATACCTGTTATAAATTCATTAATTGACCATCAAGTGAATGATTACAAATAACATGTGTAGGTTTATACCACCTAACATGGGTTACAACAAGGGAGTATTAATTGGTGTATTGCATGCAATTATCATTGCATGTAAAAACTTATGGGCCGACACTATTTTGAAAATACAATGTACGAACATAACTTCATTGTTGCATAAGAAATACATATAAGCACTTGCTGTGTGCTAAAACTGTCTGTACCTATTTACCTAAGTAAATTTTAAGATTCTTCTAGCAATGGCAAAGTGGGGTTGTTTAGTTTACGTATTCAAATATCTCAAATGTCAATTTTTAATATCATACACAGTTGACGTCATATTTTTACATGACATGATTAAATATTGAGGTAAAAAAACTACAGAAATTGGAAAAATTTGGATCAGTCATACCATCCAGGCATTAGAAATCATGAAAAAGCCAACACTGCTTTGATACTTTATTACAATCAGACAAGAACTACCGGGGTGAAAATTAAACAAGAAGACAAAGTCATCAAAATCCCCAGCAATGGCAAAATACTCTTCATGATTATGTCTACGAGTTATGATTATGTCAAATATTTAGGTGTGTATATAGAAAAGTGGAAGGAGAGTATTTATTAAAAGGTTTTTAAAGTTCTGCTCCAGAAAGGAGCACCATCACCAATTTCAGTCTAAGTCGAACTTGTTGCCATGGAAACGCCAAAAATGTTTTATTCAGAATTCCAAAACTACAAAAAGACACCAGTACACCACCAGACCAATCTATGTGCCAAGTTTGGTGAAGAAATAGCGAAGGGTTTTAGAGTTCTGCACCGGAAAAGAGCACTACCACCAATTTCAGGCTAAGTCAAACTTGTTGCCATGGAAATGCCAAAAATATTTTATTCAGAATTCCAAAACTACCAAAAGGCACCAGTACACCACCAGATCTATCTATGTGCCAAGTTTGGTGAAGAAATATTAAACGGTTTTAGAGTTCTGCTCCGGAAAAGACAAATGTGCACGGATGGACGGTGATCCAGGACATAACCTCGCTCACACAGGCTTCAATTTGACTGATTCCAGTAGCGGTTTCAGATGGCTTTATAGATATGGAGGTCTGATTGTTGTAAGTATAGAGATGAAACATCAAACTGTGTTTCCTGATCATATCACCTATTGGAAGGATATATATGCCGAAAAGCAAAGGCCCCTGCACTAAACCCTGTGGAAGACCAACGATAACTGTTGTTGCCAATCTTGACAACCTGACTTCTGTCTAATGTCAAGTTCTTAAAGGTCACATAAACCCTAGGGGGTAAAAATACATAAATCACTAACTGGCATCGTTATAAATGAAACCCCGTCATTAAAACTACTCATTTCGACCTTTAATTGACTTAAATCGACCTTTGTGACATCAGTGCACCATTCTCACCTGCGAACGAAATTTCAACCAATCAGAGCAGCGCGCCTCTGTGACGTCATATGAGGAATAGCTTTGAGGGCCGATGCAGAATTCATCTACATTTTAGGGGGTAAATTATCTTGTTTACAGGCTTGTATAAACCTGAAATCGTGACAATTGTTGTGGAAAATGAAAGGTATATGTTCTCACAATCTACTGTCATTTAATTTTGTCTCCTGCTTTGCCTAGTTTCCAAGTTACAACTTGTTTTCATAGACGCTTCTGTCACAATTGATTGGTGTCGTTAG